AATACCGTGTCTGTTACGCATTGAACTGACAGATTTTTGATCACCATTTGTGCAGTGAGCCACTTGTGCGATATATTATCAGGAGCGTATCATGATATATATTTGTCATTATACGCTCCTGATATTATGCATATATAGTTAATAGTTATGTTATATATTAATAGTAGTGATGGAGCTGGTTTGAGGATTGTCTTGAGGTAATCCTCGTGGTCATACATTTTTCTTGTATAATTAAAAATATACAACCTCAGATGAGCCCAGACGCTCTGCAGCTCTTGTTAATACTAATAACCTATAATAATATAATAGAAGTATTTGTGGATTTATGTAGATATACATTCACGTGTATAATCCACCATTCTATTAAAATTTTAAATAGTTACGTCTTAACACTGAACCGCTAAACGTATTAGGAATATTACATATAATATCAAGAGCTGATAAATAATAGGTATTTATTAGCTCTTTATAAGATATGTATCTACTAAATATTGAAGTACTGATGTACTAAGACCTAAAAATATATTTGTGATATAATGCTTGTCTTATGTATCGTATATACTGAGTCTGTACATTCTATGTCACACGAAATTTATTACATTGTAACTATATTAGGTTGAACGTTAAGATGAGTGAATTAAAGGGATACTAGACTCTAGGATTTTACTGCATACAACTGTACTTTCTGTATAACAAATCGTTTATACCCACACATACTTGTTACCATGAGACGGCCATGTGGAAGATAGGTCCGCGCCAATTTATTGTGTCTGTACCTAACATGTTTTACCGTCGTTAAATAAAGTTTTTACTTACTTACTTACTTACTTACTTACGTACAGCAGGTCTTATTAGTTAGAGCCAATCCGTGATAAATTCGCCAAAGTACATCACATTCTCGCGGTCGACATTTTCTGCAACAGCTGAACGGAAATGGGTGAACAATTTTCTATAAACAATATTTGTAGCAGCATGTACACACATTGTTATAATATTGGTCCGGAACATGAACTTTGTTCAAGAACGTAATGTTCCATTCCTGTGTCCTATTGCTAATTCTTTCTAGAACGTTTAATCCAATCACATTCGTATATTGTGTTAAATACTCCAAATTATTCTGTTATTCGTATGCTAATACGCTACATTTCTTTTACCTCGGCTGTATCACTCCATCTGTAGCTTGTCTGTCATGGTTATCGATGTATTTTTCTGATGCCGTGACTCGGTAAATGCGGTGACTGCGATATACTACAATACAACATACAACAAAAATCCGCAGTGAACAAACGCACGATGTGGTTTAGGTTACCGTCGTGTGAACATCTACCGCATGGAACTGTCCTATATTTTTTAGATGGCGCTGGTTAGTGTTGTGAATCAGAAAATAAGGTAACAGTACGAGAACATAGAAAGCAAAGACGGCGGGCAACGCAGACATGCAAGAAATAATGCAAACATCAAATTCCGCGGTAGCAATAATAGATTGAACATCTACCTCCAATATAAAAAAGTAGCAAACCTTATCTCATGATAATGTAGTGGTTTGAGCGATTGTTACGATAGTGTATAAGAATAAAACAAAGAAACTGAGTGTTGGGGGGTTTATAGTATAAACTGTCATTTTTAAAATAATCGTACTGCATGCTACGTGCATCATTACCGTGGGTGCGCGCGTGCGTGATGTGCTGTGTGCGCGTAGTGCGCGCTTGTGTTGTGTGTGTGCTGTGTTGTGTGCGCTGTTTGTGTGTTATGTGCGTATGTGCCGTATGTTTGCGTATGTGTGTGGTGTGGGTCTGCTGTCAAATGACACTGACTTGTTGGTGGTGCTGTTTGTTAC